GGTAGTTTATTTATTGATATTTCTTACAGCATAGCATTTGGTGACTGAAGGAGGAGCTGATACTGTACTGGAGAGACTGGACTGAGAGCCCATTGAGACTAGACTATGAGGAACTGGAACATTCTCAGCAAAACCTCTACCTTCATCCAACAACTGATACCAACCATTGACTTGCTGAGGGGGAGAAGAGAAGAGAGAAGGAGAGAGAGAGAGGGAGGGAGAGAGAGGGAGAGGGAGAGAGAGAGAGAGAGAAAAATATAGTATTTGAAATAGTTGGAATACGTTATTAAAACAATCTTGTTATCCTGTTTCAAATGATAGCTCTACAGATTGGACACCAGTTGTCATTTAAAATTCATTATACATTATTTATAAATTCATTATTTTATCAAATAAAAGTGTACAGACAGTGATCATGGATGAGTGGATCTGATATGAAATACTGTGTGTACACACACCAGTGGGGGAGAGAGCTAACAAAACGATGATGGGAGACAGAGAGAAACAAACACAATAATGTAGTCCTGACATTATCATTTGAGCCAAAGCAATCATAGAAGCCTCCATTGAGCAAGCAATTGCCCCATTTGAAAACACTTAGAAAACATAACAAGATGAAGCTAGACAATGAAATGATCTCAGACTTAGAGAAACATTAAGATATTTGTATGTTACAAGGCATCAAGTGGGAGTAGCTTTATAAGCCGAATTCCTAGCAGCATGAGTAATACAGGCTAGCATATACTTGGAGAGGTAGGCTACAAGGATATTGGCATACCTGGCTCCAGCCCACAGGAGATAGAGTGTATACTATGTAGAAGAGGGAGTGTGGAGGAAGATAAAGACTATCAAAACAGACTAGCATTTGTTTGTTCATAAAGTTGGTATAAGGACAAGGGATGCTAGAACTAAGCCCTGTATTGCTAGGGGATGAGGAATGCAATACAGTCGTAGCTAATGAGAAATAATGAAGAATGCATGTTTAGACACATTGGCCATAATTCATAGTATTTTTTGTGGTTAATGGTGTTGAAGATTAGACAGTAAATGATTTTGATGATTATAAAAATAAAGGCTTACTAGTGACTATGAGAGCACTGCTGTCTTCGTATATAGAGAGCTTCAAGTGACCTGGAAAATAAAAATTAAATATAATTTTTATATAGAAGAGCTCTATACCTAAGTGCCTTCTGCTACTTTTCCCTCCAAGTTTCTTCTTATCCATATAAATGGACATGGCTGCCGCTAGCTGGTCTCCTTGTTCCTTGTCTGCAGCTGCAGGAGGAGTACGTGAGGGAGAGATGGAGCAGTGAGTAAAGCTGTAAATCTAAATGATTGAGTGAATCTGTGTTTGTTTTAGTGGAGTCAACGCCCACTTAACAAGTAATGTGTCGGCACGCCCACTCAATTAGTTCTGTTAGCCACACCTTTTGATAACTAGCCACGCCTTTATTACTAAACTGCAAATGCATGGATCTGGATTAGGCCTGAGGGGATTATTCCCCAAAAAATTCCTATTATTCTATTCCCAAATTCTTAATTTTTCTGTAATTATTCTTGTGTATTTATGGCTATTATTCTCAAATTATTCATGTAACATAAGAGAAGCCTGTATATAGTCGAAGAGAGACGTGCCTTGTTGATCGCCAAATGTTGAGTTAAGTAAATGAAAACACTCATTCTATGCTTCCACTAGATGGCTGTAAAAGCATGATTTTCTTGGCTACACAAGACCAAGCTGGCAGTCCTTCTGAATTGCAATTCCACCACTCAATTCCACCATTCAACACATGGAGTATGTCACAACACATACATGGAGTAGCCATTTTTATTCCCGTTCACTACCGTTTATTCTTAATTTATGCTAGTATTCTTAAGGAACCTATTATTCCTAAAATTATTCCAGCATAATCCCCGCACCCCTAATCTGGATTGCATGCCAGCCCCACCTAGTGCTATTTCTTTATTTTCTTACTACTTCAATTCTTTGCTGCCTTTCCATTTTCAACTACCATAAATCATTAATGCCAAAATAAATTTAAAAATTCCTGTGCACTAAAAAATAGGCAAGGCAAAAAGCAAAGTGAGTGAGAAAAAGTTTTAAATTTAATTGCTTTTTGACTCGAGTTAATCTCCAAAATAACAGTAATATAATATCTTTGTTTGCATGAACCTTTAGTTGCATTGCATTAAAAGTAATTTGACACATTTAGATACATGCGTAGATTAGATCATTAATGATTTTTAGGTGTGAATGACGCATGCAAAGAAAAATTCCAGGGAAGGAGAAAGCGGCTCCGGATGTAGGAGGTTCTCTGGGAAGTTAGTTTATATTGCGGTTGCTGTCACATCATTGGACATTGTATTACTACACTGACTGGCTGCTCTAATCTCTCCACTACTTGAGCCATCGTCTCTCTATTGCGGACTGTTACTGATCCTGCCAAGAGCCTGCCCAGATATGGCCGGCGTAATTAAGAAAGGATACCTGGACGTCAAGATGAAGGGGATGATCAGCTCGGTGAGTTGATAAACAAACACTATCATCAAGCAGACGCACACACTTTTTATTAGCAGCAATTCCCAAGCAATTATAGTTGCACACAAGCAAATCTCAGCTTCGCCTGCTTGTAAAAATGAGCTGCATAGGCTGTTTAAGACTTGTATCTACCTGTACCTTTGTGTGTAAGTCTACAGAGCTATTATGTGTCACTTTCAAGCATATTTATAAAAAAGAGAGAGCGAGGTAGTGTTACTAAAGTTTACTACTGTAGAGTAAACGAGTATGCATACAGAGAAAGCTATTATTATTTTAGTAATTATGCTATAGTCCATAGCATATCATGGCATTTCAAATAGCCATCTTAATGAGCCGAATCGACTCTCTTACAATTATAACTGCTGGCAAGAATTACCAGAGATAAAAGGAATAGCTAAAATGTACGCAGCATGGTTGTTGGATGTTAGGATAAAATAAGGAAATGTACTAAACATTAGAGCTACATTAAGATAATTATAACTGTATGTAACACATGTACATTTACGTAGGTAAGCATACTCCCTATAACTGGGAAGTTGTAAGATACATGCAGTTGTGCTATTGTTTGTGTAGGAGATCCTCATAGACTGACTTAATTACTGGACATTTACACACATAACCAATTGCATTAGAGTGGGATGGAGATTAGAAGAGAGAGTGAGAGAGAGAGTGTGTGTGTGTGTGTGTGTGTGTGAGAGAGAGAGAGAACTAGATCTAATTTATTTGTTTTCTCAATAGACGTACAAAAGGAGGTATGTCATTCTCAGACGAAACACTGACAAAGGAAGCAAAGCAGTGGAAATCACTGAAACGGAGACTCTGGATCAAAATGACATCGATATTATTCCACTGAATGATGCATGGACAGTACAGGAAAAGGCATCTCAGAATAAGAAGAGATATGCTTTTGAGGTAAGAGGGAGAGAGAGAGAAAGATAAATAATAAAAGGAGGAGAGAGAAAGAGGACAAGAGAGAGAGAGAGAAGAGAGAGAGTGAGACTGTGAGAGCTGATAAGAGAGGGATAGAGGTGACAGAATTTCTAGCCTAGACAATCACCATGACAACTTTACAATACACAATGTAAGAGTGTCCCAACCGGCCTGCTCTATAAGGAATTAGGTGAAAATATTTGGCATAGCATTACTGATAGATATTAATTTACACTTAATGTATGTATTAGCACAGGTGCACTGTGGCCTAATATTTATGTGGCTTATGAGGTTTAGTCTAAGTTACCTATAGCATCAGGCTTTATTAATAATTATAATTGCATGTATTATCACTGAGGTCAGTATTTCCATACATCATTAGTAGCATCACATCATCAGTGGATACAAAGCATCGCTAAGTTTCATTACCACTGGCAATTAATATCATCACCATTAGCACTAACCATGACCTCATGATTGAGTGAATGTCAGCATTGCCTGCTGCTTGTACATCTGTGTGTGTGTGTGTGTGTGTGTGCTTATGATATTAATATGGTAACATTAAACTCACGCACACACTTCTTGTGGGAAAGTGGTCAATATTCGAGTTTCATTGTTTTCTTCTCAAATAAGGAAAAAGAGAAACGATTAATGCCGCTAAAGGATAAGTATTTGTATCAAATTCAATAATACAGTATCACAGCTGCTAAACATGTGTACATGTATGTTTGCTGCGTGCATGTGTGCTTGGCGCTTGTAAGTTGGTATGGGTCCTATAATTATAGATGAGTTGGTATATTTACGCATGTCTCTATTGATAGAGCCAGTCTACTGTGACCGTCTTATTATAAAATGAGTTATTTTTCATTCGAATGGAATGAAAAACTAAGCCACACCGTGACTTGAGTTTACAACTTTTCCCTACACTCACTTCCACTATGGAGATAAAGGGAAATTGAATATTGACAAGATTGATATTATGAAAGTGAAAAATGCTATGAAGTGTGCAGACTTACTAAGAAAGATGTAATTTCAAGAGTTTAAAGAAGCTTTCAATACATCATTTAGTGCATAGTTTTAATGTCCATTCATGTATTGGGGGTCAGGCAATAATTGAAACACTATCAGTTTTGGATAAATCTAAATTTAAAATGATATACGGCATTACATTTCAGTGCATGACTCCTGCTGTCTACAACTTCAATTATGGGAAATTCTGTGAATTGTGTCAAAATTAGGATAATTATTACTCGTAAACTTCCTCCAATATGGAACCGACCGGCCACACTGTATACAAACAGAGTGCAGTGTCTATTTGATTGGGCTGTTTGTAATAGTAGCCTACGAATGATGTGAACTTATTATTATTATTGGTTTATTACCAAAATCCAATTCTAAGAAATATGGTCATGCCTTTTACTACATCTATGTTGTATCGGTACTAGCCACTAAAAGTACCCTTGAATTCCTGATGATTATAGTTACAATGCTCAATGTTGTACTCTAATTGGGACTTATTACCCATGATACAAAGTACAATAAAATAATTAATGATTAGACTATTATAATCCATAGACTATGCTGTATCAAATTATTAATATACGTGTACATATTTAGGGAAAGCTTACAACGTGACATGGGAAGCCATCTTGTAATCATTTTAAATGATGACCTAACTAGTAAGACACATGAAAGTATAAATGATACGTTAATCTATCATACCAACATACTTGTACATAGATGCATATCACATAGCAGGAGTATTATACGCTGTCCTTATTAGTGTAATAGTAAGTTCAGACACACCTGTAGATACAGATACACTGCTATAGAGTGACTATTACTTAATCTCATTAATACTTAGCTGGACAGCAACACAGTAGGGCACTACCATAGTAACAGTATCATAGTATCTACTATAGCAATGTGAACTGTATAGTAATGCTCTAATTGTATAGCACTTAGATACTACATGTAGTATTGAGATAAGCTAATAGGGGTATGTGTCTTTATATGTAATTGCTAGCAATAGTAATGAGTAATAGTCTAGTACTAGGATTGTACATATTGCATGTATTATACATAAAGGTGCAGCTGTTTCTCATACGATGGAGAATCAGGGTGTGTATCCTCATAGCAATTGATTGATCTTCCCTAAACTCTTATACAAGCATTGAATTACTCAGCCCAGACAATGAGTGAGAGAGAGATCAACCGATAGACAATACAACTATAGAGAAAGGTCATTGATTACAATTATTATAGTATAGAGGCTGCATGTGAGTAGACATCATGCACAGTGTGACTGAGACAAAATGAAGACATGCCAGACACACTCACTCAATATATATGACTAGGAGGGTAGACTAAGCTGTTTAGACTCATTAGAGAGCCCAACATAGGCCAAGCATGGAATAAACATAAAACAGTCTTTGATGTTAGCAAGGAACAAGCTTCCTAGGGTATGTCTGTCCTTAAAAATAACAAGAGGGTCAAGTGGGAGGGATGAAATATCGTCAAATATGCATCGTGGGGTGATACTGAAAAGGAAATGGGCTCCAAGTTGGGCTTTGTTCTGTAATCCACAATTGTGTGGTGGATTGAATTGGGTCATTCTTACACAGCGTGACCTTGTATATGTGCGTGTATATATGTGCAGGCAAAATTACTTGCAGCTGTCATAATAGCATAGTTTATATAACTGAATTTTTCCACAGTAAGCATGCATTTTATTAAATGTGAGCAAAGATGACGGAAAAGACTCAAATTATTAATAGTCTCAAAATGTCTAATTACTATAATAGGCTCGTCAGCCTTTACTCATGAGGGATGAGTGTATGTGACACAATTCAGTTATAACAAGGAATTTAATTATCTCTCTTTCTCTCTCTCTCACTCTCTCTCTCTCTCTCTCCCCCGGGCCCTCTCTCTCTCTCTTACAGTTGGTTGTAGGTGGTAATGTTATGATGACATTTAGCTGTCCTTCACTGGCTAATAGAGAGGAATGGACAGAGTCATTTCACATTCTTAACAAAGTCTCGGCATATTCACCACCTCTTAATGCACCAGGTATAATAATAATAATAATAATAATAATAATAATAATAATAATAATAATAATAATATAGCTATAGCTAGTCTAGC